AAGAGCTCAGGTTCAATCCTTGGAGAGTTTCTTGAAGATAACAATGGCAGGAGATTCAACAATAAGAATTGAGAAGTTTACCGGGAAAAATAGTTTCGGGCTATGGCAAATTAAGATGAAGGCTCTGTTAAAACAACAGCAGATATGGCGTCCGTTGGCTCCAAAGAGTACTACTTCGGAGTCAGGAGACGGACCGACTGACTCGCAGTTAGAAGTTATGGAAGAGAAGGCACACTCTACCATATTACTTAGTCTTGATGATCAAATCATCACGGAGGTTGCTGATCAGGAAACGGCGGCTGGATTGTGGCTGAAGCTGGAGTCATTGTATATGACTAAGTCGTTGACCAACAAATTATTACTGAAACAGCGGTTGTTTAGCCTCCGGATGCAGTCAGGTACTTCCTTACGGGAACATCTAGAAAAACTTAACTCTATTTTGCTTGATTTACGTAATTTAGATGTTAAAATTGATGATGAGGATGCTGCGTTGATTTTACTTGTATCTCTACCGTCTAGCTTTGAGAATTTTGTAGAGTCTTTTGTTGTTGGTAAGGATTCTATAACCTTAGAAGAAGTGAAGGCAGCACTTCATACTAGGGAACTCAGAATGAAAGCTACGAGTGATAATGGGGATAATGGTAGTGGGTTATTTGTTAAGTCCGGAAAGTCTAAAAAGAATAAGGGGTTTAACAAGGGGAACAATGCTGGGTCGGGTGCTGGAAACGGCAAGGATGGATCTAGTAAAACTACTACTAAAACATGTTATTACTGTAAAGAACCGGGTCACTTTAGGAATAATTGTCCGGTGAGGAAAAACAAGTCCCAGGCTGCTGTAGTTGAAGAGAAACCGAATGAGAGCTATAATTCAGAGGAAGATTTAGCATTAGTCAGTTCTGCTAGGTCTGATGATTTATCTGATAACTGGGTTCTAGATTCGGGGTGTTCGTTCCATATGTGTCCACGTCGAGATTGGTTTGATACATATGAACCTCGCAATGGGGGTATGGTTATAGTCGGTAACAATGCTCCATGTAAGGTCACAGGTATTGGTTCCATGAGGTTGAGGACTGTTGATGGGCGGAGGTTAACTTTGACTAATGTACGGCATGTTCCTGCTTTAGGAAAGAATCTGATTTCATTGGGTACCCTGGATGAATTGGGGTACAATGGTGTGTTTTCAGATGGGGAGTTGTGTATTTTCAGAGGTTCTGAGTTGGTACTTAAGGGTATCAAAAGGAACACCCTCTATGTTTTTGAAGGTGTTACACTGCCTAGTTCTGCGGTTTGCGCATCTGTATCTCACCAGGAGATGACTAAGATTTGGCACATGAGGCTTGGTCATATGGGGGAGAAGGGGATGCAGCTATTGTCCAAGAGGGGTCTTCTATCCGGGGTCAAGGTTGCCAACCTTGAATTTTGTGAGCATTGTGTGTTTGGTAAGAAACACAGGTCAAAGTTCAGCAAGGGTGCTCACATTACTGATGCAGTGCTCGATTACATCCATTCAGATTGCTGGGGTCCATCTAGAGTTGAAGGTATGGGAGGTTACCACTATTTTGTGTCATTTGTTGATGACAAGTCCCGATACACATGGCTTAGGTTGCTTAAGTCAAAGGATGAGGCCTTCAAAGTTTTCAAGCAATGGAAAGCTTTGGTGGAAAATCGACAAGGAAGGAAGATCAAGAAGCTACGAACGGACAATGGGCTAGAGTTTTGCAAAGACGAGTTTAATCAGTTCTGTGCAGATGAGGGTATAGGTCGGCATCATACTGTCAGGAAGACACCACAGCAGAACGGTGTAGCAGAACGGGTTAATCAGACACTGCTAGAGAGAGTTCGATGCATGCTCTCTAATGCAGGGCTTGGGAGGAGGTACTGGAGTGAAGCTGTGTTAACAGCTTGTTATGTCATTAATAGGGGTCCTCATTCTGGAATTGATTCCAAAATTCCGTTTGAGATCTGGAGTGGTAAGTTGCCTAATTTTTCGAATTTGAAGATTTTTGGTTGTGTTGCTTATTATCATGTTATTGAGGGTAAGCTGGATCCACGAGCCAAGAAGGGGTGTTTTGTTGGGTACGGGGATGGTGTGAAGGGGTTTAGAATTTTTTCACCTTCGGAGGGTCGGGTCATTCTTAGTAGGGATGTTACTTTCGATGAAAACACCATGTATTCAATTAAAAATGCAGAGATTTCAGATTTGAGAAGGGAAGGAGACAATTTATTACAGACAGATGGGGTACTTGAGGTACATCAGTCTACCATTGCTGATTTACCTCGGGTACAATATATTGATGATGATGCTGATGTTCCAGTGCCGGGTACTCCTGAACCTGAGATTACTCCTACTCATTCTAACTCTGGGGATGAGGTGGAGCAATCTAATCAGGGGTCATCTAGTCAACCTGACACCATTCTTGAGATGCCTAAACGAGTTATCAAGAAGCCTGTTAGATTGATTGAAGAGATGGAGGGAAGAAATTGCTGTGTTGATGCGATGACAGGTTATGCATTGAGTGTAGCTGATGATGTAGAGTCATTTGAACCTGCCACATATAAACAAGCAATTAGTTGTAGTGAGTCTGCGCAATGGCTTGCCGCAATGGGTGAAGAGATGCAGTCCCTTTACAAGAACAGAGTGTGGGAACTAGTAAAGGTACCGGAAGGGAGGAAGCTTGTGGGTTGTAAATGGATTTACAAGAAGAAAGAAGGGTTGTCGGAAACTGAGCAAATACGTTTTAAGGCTAGGCTAGTTGCTAAGGGGTTCAGTCAGGTAGAAGGGGTTGATTTTGTTGAGATATTCTCACCTGTGGTTCGACATACTTCTATCCGTGTGTTATTGTCAATTGTAGCACATTTTGATCTTGAGCTGGAGCAGTTGGATGTTAAAACGGCTTTCCTTCATGGCGATTTGGAGGAGGAGATTCTGATGAAGCAGCCCGAAGGATTCGAAGTTCCTGGAAAGGAACACTATGCCTGCAGATTGCTAAAGTCATTGTATGGACTTAAGCAATCCCCCCGACAGTGGTACAAAAGGTTTGATTCTTTTATGGTTTCACAAGGTTTTGACAGGAATTCATATGATTGCTGTGTGTATCATAGTAAGCTGGATAATGGTTCCATGATTTATCTTTTGTTATATGTTGATGACATGTTGGTTGCCACAAAGAATAAATCTGATATTGCTAGATTAAAGGAGATGCTTAACTCGGAGTTTGACATGAAAGACTTGGGTGCAGCTAGGAAGATTTTGGGTATGGAGATCTACAGGGATCGGGCTAGAGGTAAGCTTTTCTTGACTCAGAAAAGCTACATTGAAAAGATTCTGTCTCGTTTTGGGATGGAAAAATCGAAGCCTATAAGTACGCCAACTACTGTTAGTTGTAAGTTGTCTTTGTCTATGTCACCTCAATCAGAGGAGGAGTTGTCTTATATGTCTAGAGTTCCATATGCAAACGCGGTTGGTTGTTTGATGTATGCTATGGTCTGTACTAGGCCGGATATTGCGCATGCTGTTAGTGTTGTAAGCAGGTTTATGGCTCGACCTGGGAGGGAACACTGGCAAGGGGTGAAAAGGATTTTTCGCTACCTGAGAGGGACAACTGATATTGGTCTTGTGTACGGGAATGGTAGGGAATGCTTGGTCACTGGGTACAGTGATTCTGATTATGCAGCTGATGTGGATACCAGGAGGTCTGTGACTGGTTATGTGTTCACTTTGGGTGGTTCTGTGGTTAGTTGGAAGTCTACATTGCAGTCATCAGTTACGTTGTCAACTACTGAAGCTGAGTATATGGCTCTAACTTCTGCAGCTAAGGAGTCTATTTGGCTCAAAGGCCTAGTAGGTGAACTGGGTATTGCACAGGATTTTGCTACAGTGTATTGTGATAGTCTAAGTGCGATTTGCTTAGCTAAAGATCAAGTACACCATGATCGGACGAAGCACATTGATGTCAGGTATCATTTCTTACGTACTGACAAGAGGATTAAGGTGAAGAAGATTGGGACTGCTGACAACCCGGCTGATTTCTTCACTAAGCCTGTTCCGTTTAGCAAGTTTAAACATTGCTTAGACTTGCTAAATATTGATTACTACGTGATGTAGTAGGCCCTGAGGGGCGAAGTTGGGGAGCTCCTGGTGTAGGTGTGTTGGCATTAAGGTGGAGCTTGCCCGGGGCTTGTGATGCAGGTGGAGCATTATGAGTTGTTATACTTGGAGACGAGTATGTGATGGGTCTTGGTTGAAGACTTATCGGGATGTATGGCTTATGCATGAGTCCTGCATCGGGTTTGGCTTGAGATGTTTTTTCACTATGTCTTGATGGGGTCGTTTGCTGACTACGAGTTCTCGTCAAGGTGGAGATTGTTGATAAGTATATTAGGTGACTCGTACTTCGTAGCTTTGTCCGCCCGATCGGGCGGACATTGCCCGGTCTGACCGGGCGGAAGAAGAAGAGGTGCCTGGCAAATTCGTTGAAGAAGCTGCTCTCGCGCCCGACCGGGCGAGCCTTCGCCCGACCGGGCGAGCCTTCGCCCGATCGGGCAGACCTTGCCCGGTCTGACCGGGCGGTGGGGGTTGGATACGTTGAAGCATTCGTATGGAGTTTTCTTCTCGCGCCCGATCGGGCAGACCTTGCCCGGTCTGACCGGGCGGAGAAGGAAAAATACGGAACGCGGATTTTGCGGTTTTAGGTTATCTTATTTTATTATCTTTTTGCCCAAGTATCTTTTAATTAGGGATTAATATAAAACCTCCCTAATATCAGTATTAGGGTTAAGAGAGACAGAGTAAAAGCCGTTCTTGAGAAATACAAGAATCATCTTTGTAATCTTTGCAGTTTATAGTGAAATCATTCGATCTCGGTGCCCGTGGACGTAGCTATCACATCGATAGTGAACCACGTAAATTCTTGGTGTTGTTCTTATTGTTTGCATTGAATTTCTTTATTGTTTTCTTGTTTGTTTCCGACCTTTGCTTCCGCTGTCGCACAACAAGAATGCCTGCACTTTGTGCTGCAAGAGTTTTTCAGCTAACAAGAGAATTGGGTCATAAAACTGATGGTGAAACTATTCAATGGCTGCTTCAACAGGCTGAACCTGCGATCGTTGCTGCTACTGGTTCTGGTACTATTCCAGCTTCATTTCTTACCGCCTCGGCTTCTGGGGCATCGTCTGTGTCGCCGCAGGGCGCGTCTGTATCACTGGGGTTGCACGCTAAGATCAATGAATTGAGGGCTGGTGTTGAGGTGGGGAATCGGGCGAATTGGGCGAATTTTGGTGATAGTTTGGGAAGATCTCAAGTTGCTGGTACATCGATTTGGCCGTCTATTGGAAGTGGGTATGCACAAGTTTTTGATGGTTGTTCTGCTACTGCTTCGAATTTAGTCAGTCAAAATTCTGGTTATGTCACAAATTTTCAATTGCAAGGAGTTGGAATGCCTACTGCTAATATGGGTTTATTGAGTTTTACTCCGATTTTGGCTCGGGGAACTCAGGTTCCCGGCCTTCAACTCGGGCTTTCACAAGATGGGCATGGTGGTGTTATTGGACAAATTTATCAGCAGCAGCAGCACCAACAGCAACATCATCACCAAGCGCAGGATCATGAACAAAATAATAATTCAGGTGCTGCTGCTGCTGAAACCGTGCACCCGCATCAGCACCAGCATCAGCAGCAGCACTTGCAGTCGCATTCTAATGATGACAATTCAAGAGAGCAATGAATTCATATTGCTTTCTTTGTTGTTTGTTTGCATTTTATTTTTGTTTTTGGTTTATATATATTGTAAGTATGTTTTGTGAATTGTGGAAATAGGGGGATTGTTGAGGAATGTTTTCATTTTCGGAAAAAAAAAATGGATTAAGAGGGTTGCATTTAATTCTCATTTAAATCCAATTTTTTAGATTATGATTTGACTATTTTTGGGATTTTTTTATGGCTTCTTGGTTGTTGTGTGTGCCCCTTTTACAACTTTCATGGGGATTATCAGAACTGTCCTAAACTTTTATATTTAAGGTAATGATTTTTCTCTTCTTTCTTTTTTATTAATATTAATGAATTTTTTTAATGGTTTATACCATACTAATTTTTGTTTATTTAAATTATCTTTTTGACTTGAGTTATTATATCATATCTTCACAGCAACAAATGCCTGCATTTCATTTTCAATATTTTTCGAGTGTGCGTAAAGCTGTGGAACTCTTGAAGTAGTCAGATGTATTGGCAATGTTATAAGTACTAAAATTATTACTCAAGGTAGTTTATTTTCTTGCACAAAAACGATTTGAAGTTGGTTTTCTTGAATTACTATTTCTGGTTATAAACTTTGCACAAAATGGTAACATCTCAAGATCAGAATAAATGGTGTGCTTATGCTACTCTTCAATACTAATCTTCTCTTGTTTATTGCTTTAATTTCGTGGAATTTCGCATCCTTCTCTTTGATTAGAAATATGTCTGATATGTTTTGGGAATTTGATCTTTTAGGATTCACATTCGTTTTTTTATAAAAAATTATAGATTTGTTGGCCTTATGTTGTCTTCCTGGGAATCTTTTGTATAAAAAACATTATATTTTCGGGTTTCGTCTTTCCTACTTAACCTACAATTGTTTATGATATTCTCACATGATTTGGCTTTTGGTTTCATTGCAGGGTAATAATTGACAATGATATTTCTGAGAGTGCCACTATAATACAGGTAGATATATCCTTAAATTTCCAGCCTTTGTTTTATCTTTATAAATGGTTTATTTTGCATCTTTAGAGAACTAGCTCAACATCTCCTAAATTGGAAATGTGGAATATGTCCCATTGTCCCAAAAGGGTGCATAATAATTCGGCCTTTTGCTATTTTGGTTGTTGATCAAGAATATGTTTTTAGGCCAAGGAATATCACTTATTGTAGTTTTGGAACATGTTTGGATATTATATTATAGAGGACTAACAGTTTGATGTATCTGAAAGTTTGAAGTTTCGGTCCTATTCAGTTTAGCAGTGTGAGGCATGAGATTTTTTTCGAAACAATCCAAACCCTCACCGATTTTAGTCTCATATTGACTAAAGCTTATGTTTCAGGCGAGGATGGATGGTTCATGGATGGTGAGTAATATACCTAGCTTGTTTAACTAGCAATCAATTTTCAGGGTTTATGATGACCTTCTGAATATACTTCTGATTTACCAGTATGGGCAGAAAATTCAAGATAAAGGACTCATTGACCATTTATGCCAGGCTAGATTCTAAACATTCAATTTTTGCTACAAATTTGCTTCTCAGGACTAATATAATGATGATCTGACCTTTTGCCATTTCAACTAGTTATAAGCTCATTCCTCTGACCAACCCTTTCTGATATAGCATTTACATCAATGTTTCAGGCTCTTGCGGCTAAAAGTTGTTTGTTCAATTCCGCAAATGAGACAGTTGAAATGTTTCCACATCAAGGGTATACTATGATTCTGATGAGTGGCATTGATAGGCCAGGGTTACTGTATGAGTTGTCTGAGATTTTAACGCACCATGGAGTTCATATCGTAAATGCTGACTTGTGGACTCATAAGCATCATGCTTCAGCAATGATCAATGTTGTAGATGAATCTATGGGATTAAAAATCAATGACAGTAAAAAGTTATCTGGGATCAAGAAAGATTTGGGTCATATAATTAAACCGTCAGTCAAGTTCAGGTCTCCGGAGAATTGGAATGTTGAAGACAGGAGTTCTAGAACACGTGTCACCGCATCAAACTGCAGTTACCGAGACTATACACCCATAGATATACGGTCTGACAACAGAGTAAATCTCTTGCTTGATACGATAAGTACTCTCATGGTTATGCAATATGTTGTGTTTCATGGATCTGTAGCAGTAGGAAAGATAAAAACTTTTCAGGTACGTATGGTATAATTGTACTAGTCTTGTGTTTCAATTTTGGCAATTTCAAGTTCATGATGTCTTATTATAAGGCTTGGTTTTTATGTTGAATGGTTATCATATCCTAGAGCAGCTGTGTCATGATCACTGATTTCTCTCATTTGGTGTAACTATTGTTCATGGTAGCATGAGGCTATGAGAACCACTTATAGATTCGTGGAATACAATCTCACAAGGTGAAAAAGATACTTATATTCCTACAAACGCAGACACGTCGATGGGCGCTCAATCAGCATAATTGAGGAACGTGAGGAACTGGAGGAAGCTCTTGAGCAAACCATTAGCCCAGACTCAGAGGTGACCTCAAGATTACATATAGACTAACATTTTGGCACTTTCTGAAATTGGATATGACGATTCTCCATGCTAATTGCTACAAGAAACTGTTCAATGCTTCTTTCTCAAGTAGGAGACTATGATGTTAAGCTTGAAAGAATCTAAAATGGCTACTCATTCTGCAGGGGGTTGAATTTGCTTCGACGGCTGGCTGATACAATTGTCTAAATTTATGACTGTACTTAAGAGATATAGGCTGTTGGATTAAGAGAGCACACATTTCTACTGTTGATGCGGAAGTAAAACATATATATTGGGTCACTGATAATAGTGGTGAAGCTGTCGATCAGCGGACCATTGATTTGATACAGGAGCAGATAGGAGAAAGCACGCTACCGGTGAAAAAAAAGCCGGTACAGTCCCGTGGGACTCCAACAGAAGGCTTAAGGCTTCTTGTTTGGTAACTCAATGAGGCGTCTAGCTGCACTAATAAATGATTTCTTCACAGCCAACTGTTTTGCATGATAAGATTGATACTGTATTTTCATACCATGGGATCAATAATTTTAGGGGTGACAATTTTGTTAGAAGTTCATTGTTAATTTATAAACAATAATATCGCTACAGTTTTTGGTGTTGGTAATGTGATTTTGTGAAGCAAACTGAAAAATAGCAACATAATTGTAATATTTACATGATCTGTTTGCATTTTGAAGCTCAAATATTACATTGTTACTCAAACTTGTCCAGCAGTTCTAAATGGAAAATTTTATGGATACAACACGGAGGAGATCAAATTTCTACCTCCCATGGCATTACAGAGAAAAGAGGCAATCACCTTTCAAAAAAAAGAAAAAGAAAAGAGGCAATCACAGGAGCTCCGCATTCCTGGAAGCCAGCCAAAGCTTAGAATAATTATCTTCAAAGCAAAAGCATTACCAGAAGCACAGGTGTTTTAGACTACCTGACTGCAATTTTTACAAATTATGATCCCTTGGACGGAATATTCCGGCATCAAATTTTTTTTGCAAAGTGGCCAATCTCTGTTCAATTATATCGTCTTTTGACTCCTCTATTAGTACATGTTCCTTCTCCATCATATCTTCTAGATCTTCCATGTACTTCACTTTGCATTGCAATTTCTTCAACTGCTCAGCATTCACAAAAAAATATATAGGCATAAAAGAAGCGACACATTGCAATTTGTCAAGAAAATTATATAAATCTGAAGTTCAATGTTAATCAAAACAAGTTCAAGAGTTGAAGAGGAATTAGTGACAAAGTTTCTACCTGGGCCTCAACAATGAAGGCCATCCAATGTTCAATCTCCCTCTCTTCCTGGTCAGCCAATATCTTGGCATGAGCAGCAGCTGCTCCAAGTGCTGTAGCAACTGCTGCTCTCATCCTTAGTGCTATAGGGATAGAATCTCCAATTTGCGATAGTTTGTCAATCTCTACAAAAGGCATTTGATTGACTGAGATAACGGATATTCAAAGAAAACATTTAGGATATGATAAGTAAATCTCACGCAGCAAACAAACCCCATTACTTGGACCATTATCCTACACACACCTTAATATGGTACATACACACCTCTTCATATGGTTACAGGGGTATCGGTTAGTCATAGGTCATATAATAGACTGAAATTACAAGGGCGTAATACTCCGCAAATCATACCAAATTTTTTGGTGGTGGAAAATAGAGGTGGAAGAAAAAGTAAAAAAAAAAAAATATAGGAAGGGAAACTTGCACAACATTCTCTTCATCTGAGGGGGGAGCTGGGCAAAAACGGTTAGAGACCAAACAAGAGAAATGGAGTCATAAGGTGTTGTTGTTTAAAGTAAATGATACATTAAGGAGTTACTTCAAATAAGGAAAAAAAGAGAGAAGTACAACTGGTAGAAATTAGACTGGAACTATAAAGTGAGATGCACACACCCTTTCTCTCACTTTTGGTAATAATTTATGTATATTTAGCTACATGCATAAAACAATATGCCACCTGGATTTGTTGAAGGTTTTTATTTTTTATTTTTTTTGAACACTAATATGACGATTGGCAAGCCCCTTTTCATAAATAAATCAATCTGGTGATTCAGTCATAATATACTGTGTAATATACCTGAAGGATGAGAGGTGTCCATTTCTTGATCTTCAGACTGAAAAGCCCTGGAAGTTTCAGTAAGAAAGCATTAATAAATAATAATATAGCATTATGATTCCGAGTCTGTAAGGAAAACACTAGATACCTTTCCATTTCCATATCAAGATTGCCACTTTTATGCTTGTCTATGGAAATATGGTCATCTGAATAGAAAATCTCTCTCAACAAGGGGTTTCCATCACATAGAACTGAAACTGCAGCATCAGCAGCTGTGGCTGTTATTTGAGGAGCAACCATGGTCGAAATGAGAGCTACCTGATTGAAGAAAATAATATAAAAAGTCACCACACATGAGCAGAGCTACTAGTCACTACCAGGGAAGTTTTAAGCTTAGAATTATAAGAGGATATATCGAGAACCTTGGTGAGAACCTATGTTTCTTATTGTTTAAGAAGACAGCTTCTGAAATCATGAGTTATTAATCTTTCTATAGTTGTTGATGAAAGGCAACATGCACTTGCCTCCTTACCCCTCCAAAAAGAAGGAAAAATAGCCAGGAAATCTTAAAGGGGAAAATAATACATACTTCATGATGTCAAAAACATTTATGAAAACTATACAGACTGTTACCATGAAAACTATAAAGGGGGAATTATTATGTAAAAATTAATTACTGAATACTATACAGAGTGTATCATACAGCCTACGTCTCAAGCGTTGTTTCATGATGTCAAAAACATTTATGTTACCATGAATTTGACAATGGTCAATGAATATGCACATACATACAAGTAAAGAATTTACCATGACTTTAGTAAGACATTGTTCAACTTCTAAAATAAAGAAAGCAAGTTCTCTATAAGGGGTTTTGCTATTAAGGATAACTGGATAAGCTCATAAGCACATACACTAACTAAATAGACACTGAATTTTCACCCAAACTACTAGAGCCTACAAGAAGCTCAAGGTCAAGAAGAGCTCTCAAGATAACCCATTCCTCCATTTCATTTATGCTAATCCAGTAACTTTGGCGATGTAATTAATGATGGTCAAGCACAGTGCATGAAAATTCTAGTGATAAATGAAGGTGAAAAAGGTAAGTGTATGTTAAGAAGTGAAGACAAAATTTTCTATTCCATTTTGTATTTTAAGGTAGCTGGATACCCCCATGGATTTCCATCCAAGCGCTTAGGCGTAACAGAAACAGGTTGCAAGGTATGACTGGATATGTTTTACTGTCATAAGCTCATAACCCATGAGCAACATAAATTTTACTGTTCCTACCCGCCCTGTAGAGTTAAGTTATGGTAAGACAAAAAAGAAAATTGGTAGAAACCTTTGAAATTAAATGCTCTAACCTGCTCCATTAAAGATCTACTAGGATCTGAAGAGTCAATGCGACTTTTCTTTAAAGGAGGCTCCAGGTTCTCAATGTCCTCCGCATTTTCTCTCACAACAATTTCCTGCTGATGATTATTCTCCTCCTTATGATGATTGTTCTCCAGATGTTGATTGTCCTGATGATGGCAAAGCTCCATCTTGCTATTTTCTTGGTATAGACCAGAGGCCTTCTGCTCTTGACCAGCATCAAGTGCCCTGGCAGAACACTTTCCCGAGGAACCCAGCATGAGCTCCCCAAATGGCAACTCAATAAGCCGTGAAATACATTCAAGTTTTGTTTTGGTCTTCACATTTTGAGCAACAAGTTCCCAATCATCTCCATGCTTCAGGATGGCTTCCAAAAGAAGAAGTGTCTCTGTCTCAGTCCACACACCACCTTGATCAACACTGCTTTCTATGCTGTCATTCAACTTGAAATCATCTGAAGATTTGTTTTCTCCATATTCACCTTTCTCAAAGCACTTCAAGCATAGTATACATTTATCCTGCTAAAATTAACATTCTATGATAATATGTTCATTCTATGATAATATGTTCAGAAGTACATCAATTATAATTCAAAAAGTAAAAATTGAGCTAAACAATGGTGGGAGGAAGGGTCCCCCAGCAGTCCATAGAGGCAACTGTGAAAAATAAACTGCTGGGAGCTGGACGAAAAATCAAATTACCAAAGCGAGAGTTTCCTCACAAGAAGTCCATGGGATATGAAAAATCCCCTCATTGAAAGGCAACAAAGAGAAATGAATATTAAACTGCTGGAAGCTGGATAACAAAACCAAGCAGTTCAATCAACAAGAAAATTTCCTTGTAAGAAATTAATGGAGATGAATCAATCCACCAAAAAGCTATGAATCCAATTTCACAATAATTAACTGCTTCCAATTGCACAAACAAAACTGAGCTACCAAAGCTCATAATTGAAGAGTAACACAACACTAACTGATATATGAACCCAGATAAAGACCTATTTAAAATAAAGGAATTTTATTGGAAAATACCTTTAAATATCAGTTTTTGCGAGAAACAACCTTACAAAAAAAGGTGGCATGAAACTACCTTCTATCAACTTTTTTTGCGAGAAAGTATCTGACATCAAAATCCAACCTTCAACAGCAATCGGCATTGACCCTCATGTGCATGGCACGTAACCTCATTGAAACCCCAATTTCCCTCATTTTTGGCTCTTTTTCTTCTTGTTACTCTATCTCTCTCTTCTATTTTGCAGACTAAGACTCATTAACACTGTTTCTCTTCTTCTCAACAATTAATTCAATCTACCATGGCTAACAAACTTCAATGAAATGAAGCTTAAATCGATTACATCGGCCCTACAAAGCAAGGGCACATAATTGGCCCTAAGAAGATATGACAGATTTGTTTGAATCAACTGCATGAACCAAATAACAGGTTCAGTCATAGAACAGGACCCAACATTGACTTCCTAGTGTGTTCACCACCTCCGTTAGCTTGAAATAGAGCTTCTATGATTCGGAATATGTAAGGATATGTCACAATATTACACAACCAGATTCCACCGATAAAACCATATGTGCATGTCTCATCTCTAGGCTAAATTTCCACCAACACTAACTAGATATATCATATAATTCCAAGATATTATGTTTTAACAAACTATAGTTCAATGAAAATCATTAACATTTTCAATATACAAATCGAAATTTCAAATTAGAAGCCCACAGTTTCGGAAGCATGATAGCATGAATGTACCTCAAACTTGAGAATATAACCAATCAACCAAAAACTCTGGCCAATTTCCATCACTTATAGCAACATTTACAATCAAAACTAAATGCAAATATGGGAAACTCAATAAAAATCAATTCACACAAATAATCATAAAAACAGGAGAGAATAAATTACCTTAGTGCATTCATAGTACTTGGATTCACACTTCTCCTTACAATTCCCACATGCCACCCCTTTCTCTCCCTCCAAATCCTCGAAAACAACCGAATACGAAGCCAATGGCGGCAACTTAAACCCATTATCAACCCCACCACCACCATCGGCTCCGGGCGCAGACAGCGGTTCCTTCAATGGTTTCAAAGTATTCGGGGTTCCGACAACCCGAACCCCAATTGGGGGTCCCTCTTCAACCCTCACCTTCACCTCCTCATCCACCCCTTCCACCACCGCCGACGTCGGCGGCGGTGGCGGCGGCGCACCAAAATTAATCAAACCCCATTTATCCAAGAAATTAAAAACTTTATTAAGAATACAAACATCACCCACTAATGATTTACGAACCTCAGTAAATGTGAGCCTTCTAGAAGGATCTTCTCTATACTTACAAATGATGAAATCCCTATATTCTTTGTAGATTTTAGGGGTTCTTGTGAATGAACTCCCATCGAAAAACTCTCTCAATTCGATTCTTTCTGTGTCGTGAATTGAATCCCATGAAAACCAAACTGCAACAAAAAACAAACAAAATAAAATAAGGTTAGGAAAAATAAAATTGGAAAATGGGATTTGAAAAGTTAGGGTTTAAGAAAAGAGGAGAGAGAAAGAGAGAGTACAGGAATGACTGGGGATAGTGTAGAGGTCGAGGTGAGAGGAAATGTCGGGGGGAAGAGAAGAAGATTTAAAAGAAGAAGAAGATGAAAGTGGGAGACGATCTGTGTTCGGCTCCATCTTACACACTCCCAATTTTTTTTTACGAGTTGTGTGGTTAACTACTTGTGTTAGACTTATGACCTTGTTCTACGCTGTGTTAGTCATTGGTAGGCCCCGTTTATTTTACTCTATTTTTGTTGAATTGAAATTATTTTTATTGAAGTTAAATTAATTATACTGAAGTAAAATTATTTTTCCTGAACTGAAATTATTTTTATTGAACTGAACTTGATTTTACTTAATATTATTCTTTTAAGGTGAAGTGAACAGGGCTGTAGTCATTAATTATTTTCTCCGTTTTTTTAGTTGACATGTTTTAACTTTTATACTTTACACATATTCTAATTTTGACTTACTTTTGTGATTTATAGTTACGGTAAAACATAGTCACGTGGGATCTTGTTAAAACCGTCAATATATTTTCAAGATACCAACTTTTATAATTTTAAATTTTTTACATATCGATAACTAGGGATATTAAGAATTAAAATAATGCATCACAAGATATGAAGTACCCATAAGGAATATGGTTAGCACGAATTGTTATTGGATTGATATGGTTCAACCTAATAGACGTTTGATTTGTGGCTTCTGTGAATGATATATAAAATTCTGATATGATTTAAGTATTAATCGTTTAATGTGAATGATCTTTTATATTATTTATGTGTAATGAAAATAATTAGTTTGAATGTTAGAGGTGTCAAAAATTCTTCGACTTTAAGTGAGGTGTTTTCAATAAGAAAAAGTGTAATAGCCATATAATTGTAGGTGATTTTCAAAATTCTAATTTTGACTTGCTTTTGTGATTGATTGAAAGAAAAAGTGTGATCCATATAATTTTATTGCTATAGAGAACCACGGTTTTCTCCAAATGGAGTAATAGCCATCTTTGTAGCAAAACTTTGGAATATGAATATTTTCGAATTATTTACCTCAAGGCCATTGCAGTGGCATGTGGGTTTATTAGAATTCCTCAAAAATCTCTGCAACAATAATTGTTTTCAAGCACGAAATTGCTTCACTTCATTAATAACTTATTTAGCTCTTAATAAATCATTTATGTCCTTTGTTATTTATAGTCCAGCTCAAGAGATGTTAATGACTTTTTTTTTCCTTTTTTTTTGGAAGGAGGTAGGGGTTGCTGGGTAGGGGTTATAACTTTGTTCTCTTCACCTTAATTTTATTAGTTGTTCTTGTTAAAATCAAATCAAATTAGAAAATTTTAGATTTTACCTGACAAGATTATTAGATTAGACCAGAAATTCAAACCTCATCAAACCAGACTTTAAATTCATACTAGAATATCTTATTTCAGGTGAAGAGAACAAAGCCTAAAGACTATATATATCTTAGAAATTACTTACTTTCTACTACTGTAGTATATACAAGTAAAGGTTGGATTATTTATATCAATTTTTTCTAAAGTTCTAAAATAAATTTACTCCAATACATAAACAACAATTTTTACTTACTAAAATGATATTTGGGTTGAATCGTAGTTTAGTATTTATTCTTTTTATAATGTTAATAATAAAACTAAGAGTAATGCTATATGTAAACAAATTAGCATTAAATATATTTCATTAGTTGCCTAGTTGGTATTAGTTTAGGAATGCATGATAAAATCACGCACAAAACATTAATACTTTCCTCTTTTAACTTCTTATACAGAGCTCTTAGAAGTGTGTATACTTGTAGAAGTCATTCGAAACACGCCTACCTAAACATGTGTGAATATTTTTGGCAATCATAGGAAGTGGAATTTGACATATACGATTAGGGACAACGATGAGGGACAAATAAAGTAGGGAGCCGCCAACAAATTTTTAAGGAACTTGTAAACCGTTCACGGATCATTTAAGGCAACCACGAATAAGGGACAACGATAGGCAACAACGATTGACCCGTGAAGGTTACTCCCCATTCATAATCCATGAGATTACTAACTCCATATGGTTCGGAACCATGAAAGGAGGATCGGGGATGATTGTACGAAGTGAGTCATGGAGTCACATTCGCCCGTATTGGCCTCTACTCGATTCTTATCGTGAAAAGTATTTCCTGCGATCTCAAAGGCATAAAACATAGATTCAATTTGCTCCAAACTAGATTAGGCTAAATTGGTTGAAATTAGTGCAACACATAATTCTAATTATTAGTGACCACTTGATTAAACAACAAGATTAAAAAGGAAGCTGAATCGGTCGTCCAAATTATCTTATTAATCATGATTTTCAATTACATATTCCCTTTAAACATGCAATGTGGTGATCAACAATATATAAATAAACAATAACATTGGAAGCAATTTAACCATAATATCGTTAGTAAAATCATTAAAAATATAATAATAAACCTAAACATGATACTAGCAATAAAAATAATAATAGTAAGTAATTGAATAAATTACTCACGTTCCACGCTTCTTTAAATTGCTACATCATGAATAAATCGTTAGTAACTTCAAAGAATAATAAATCAAATTGAAATCAAATTAAATTAAAGTAGAGTTGATTTGGTCCAAACCCTCAATCGATTCTACCTTTCAAGCCTTGGTTTAAGTACGAAACTTCGGGTATAAATCAAATCAAATAAGGTACCAGTACCGTGACAAGACACCCAGTATCGTGCCACGACACCCATTGGTGTGCCACAATACCTTTTTTTTTTTCAGCGGCGCTCATTTTCTAAGGTTCCGGACTGCATCCTTCACATTTCCTCTATAAATACGAAGCTCATTTATGAGTTTCAAGGCAGCAACATCAATTCTCTCTTCCTTCTCTCATACTTATAATTATTATTCTTTCATCATTCATCCCCCAAGCACTCCAAGGAGCCCATACAATACCCGAAGTTTCGAACTTAAACCAAGGCGTGAAAGGTAGAACATATTGAGGGTTTGGACCAAATCAACTCTACTTTAATTTAATTTGATTTCAATTTGATTTATTATTCTTTGGAGTTACTAATTAACGCTTTATTCATGATGTAGCAATTTAAAGGAGCGTGGAACGTGAGTAATTTATTCAATTACTTATTATTATTATTATTATTATTATTATTATTATTATTATTATTAATATTATTATTATTATTTTTATTGCTATTATCATGTTTAGGTTTATTATTATATTTTTGATGATTTGACTAATAACGATATTATGGTTAAATTGCATCCAATGTTATTGCTTATTTATATATTGTTAATCACCACATTGCATGTTTGGGAATATGTAATTGAAATCACGACTAATAAGATAATATGGACGACTGGTGTAGGGAATTTTTCACCTCTGCGCCCTACGTGTGGGTCATGTTTTTAAGCATGACTACGCTCCAAGGAAAAGAAGCTAGAGAAAAAGAGTCGCCAACAAGTTTTAGGCACTTGTAAACCGTTCACGATTGTGAAAGTTACACCCCATTCACAATCACAGAGATTGCTAACTCCATAGTGGTCCGGAAACATAACTGGATGTTCGGGGATGATGGTACGAATTTGACCTAAGAGAAGCTAAACCCGCCCTAAGTAGGCCTCTACTTTATTCTTATTGATATTTATGCGCGCTTTTCGATCAACATACATACATCAAATTAATTTTAAACATGTTTAATCTATGTTGGTTGATTATTAATGCACAATTAAATCTAATATCGATGATCACTTGAATTAATATCATATTAAGCCTAAATCAAATTATTAGCTATCTTATTAGGCATGATTTCAAGTACAAATTCCCTTTAAACTTGTAAAAGGGGCGTGATCAAGCAATGTCAATAAATCATGAATAATCAAGCAACATATGATTAATATAACAATCATCATCATAAGAACATCATCAAAACATTGTTAGTAGTAAGATCCTAGGTATGATACTAAACAGGTTAATAACAACCCTAACATGTCACTAATAACAAAATCAAAGCGTTATCTTAAACATTTTACTAGAAATCAAAATAACATCCTAAACATGATTTCTAATAATCAAGCGTTAATCCTAAGCATGATTCTAGGAATCAAAATACACTAGTAGAAAAAATGCTATTTGTAACTAACAAAAACGGGCTATTTGTAACCAACATTGGGGGTTACAACTGCTGGGGTTACAAATAAACAGTCATTTGTAACGGACATTGTTCGTTACAAATAATTACCTATTTGTAACTGACATTACAATTCTCCATTACAAATAGGTGCCTATTTGTAACGAACAAATTGATATGTCCGTTACAAATAGGCACCTCTTTGTAACGGACATATCAATTGTCAGTTACATATGCTTATTTTGGAAATTAAAAAAAAAAATACCTTGCAAATAATGTTAGGTTGAGATGTCACGTTGAACCTGAACCCGAGATGCGCAATACCCTTGCCCATGACCCAAACCCACCCCACTGCTCCAACTACGATCCACTATGCCACACCACGAACCATCCTCACTACCACCACGACCCACCAGGCCCCAACCCCGTAACCCACACCACTACCCACTACCAAGATAGCCCAAATGCCCCTACCCAACCCCGTAACCCACACCACTATCCACTACCAAGATGGCCCCAATGCCCCTACCCAACCCCGTAACCCACACCACTACCCACCACCAAGATGGCCCCAATGCCCCTATCCACCCACGAATCCCACCACCCTAACTCGTACCCCTTCTCCCTTACCCACGACTGCTGCAAACACCACTAATACTCACCAAGCGCCACCACCAAACACAAAAAAAAAAACAGATCCATCATATACAAATAAAAAAACCAAAAAATTATACACAAATATTACGAAATTAAAACAGAATTATCTACAAAATTAAACAAAAAAATTCAAAAATTAATAGAAATTATATACAAAAAAAAGTCCAAAAATTCGAAAGGAATAAATAATTATACAATCATCTAAAAATTATAAATTAAAATTACAATTACATCAAAAAAATAATTATAATTAGAAATTTAAAATAAACAAACCTAGATATGATGTCTAATCTAAATCAATATAATATCTAAAATTCAAAAACCTTGGGTTGACAACGAAATCTTGCGTTGATAGTGGATGGTCGGCTCTTAAGCGGTGTGTGCAAGTGCGGTTGTTAACAGGGTG